ACTAATCCAATTAAATTCTTGGATCGAGGTTAAAGACACTTTCTAAGACTTTAATCTTACTAAAATGAGCTAGAATCCATAGATTCTCATGAACCCCTCAAAAACCCTTTTTTGATTCCAAAGCCAAAAACTTGTAATATGAAACTTAATTTGAAGCTAGGTGTAACATCCCCAACCTGTACCCGATCCGAATACAAGTCTGAGAAGTCACATCGACTTTTCAGAACATTTACTTGTACAAAATAGTGAATAATTTTAAACTTTTACTAAACACAACTGAATAATTTACATAAAATATAATCATATGATTTTACAAAACCAATTAAGGAATAACAGATTCAAATCTTTATTTACATGTCAACCACAATCAGTATTACAAAATACATACTATTCATTTCTCTTCTGATCTGACCTTCAGCAAGGAGAAACTGACATGTCTTGCTTTTCATCGTTCCATAAGCTCGTCCAAACCTACGTGTGAAACACTCACACGCTAAGTCTTTGACTTAGTGAGACATATAAAACATATAATTTAAACTCTTATTTATAACGATGTATGTACAATTGATACTATCATATCATACAAAACCATATAAAATTTCATATAATTAAATATATTCATATACATAACTCATCATTTCCATCTTTACCTCATTCCATTATCATTTAAATCTCTTAGTCATTCTTAATTAAATAATACACACAACAACTTATATTCTATCATGCATCAATTATCCACCTGCACATATATTATCATTCACAAAGAATCACACATAACATCATCTAATCCTTATAACATGTCACACATACACATATTACATACAATATATTTATATTATTGCTTTATTATCCCATGTATACTTTTGAGAACTTAAGGTATGTGAGTACATTGAGGTTGTGCACAAATGTTGTCACCACAACTCGTATAAATTGCACCGAAGTGCCACGTAGAATTTGCATCAAAGTGCCGCGTAGAAATATACCGTAGTGCCATATAAGATTGTCCATAAGGACCACATAGAAATTCCTTAAGAATCATATACATATACTAAGGATCAAGTAGGTGTCTCAAAAGACCTTATACATACTCCAAAGAATACATATATGTCTCGAATGACCACGTAGAATTGTCCCGAATGACCGCGTAGACCCTCTACTCTGGGCATGTCAACTATACCTCTAGCTCTCATGACACATAACATGGGCATTATTCTTTGTATCATTTCATATATTCACATAAACACACAGTTCACTTACACGTAAAATATTTCCATATGAGTCACATTCACATGTCACATGGCTTATATCTTGTTCTTATATCCTTTCATAGACATATATTCACATGTTCACATAGTTACATAGCTTATATTCTTTCTCACTTAATCACATAGGTCCATGTCATATAACATATATCACGTAGCTCATAGCTTATCACATATACCTTCTCTCATGAGATGTCATCACGTAACTTATGTCACTTAAATTGTATTTCATATACATATAGTCACGTAGATTACTTTTACCTAGCTTCTATCAACTTTTCATGTCATTTCACATTTATTGTATCTTATTCTTATGACTTCTCATAGACATATATATTAGTTTATAAACTTGCATTCACATAATTTATAATCTTCTTCTCATAATCAAATATATCATGCTTAATAACATATATATCATATAAGTATATACTAACTTATATCATTTCATATAATTGGACTTATATTAAAAAAATACAATAATATATTGTTGAATTATGCTTCGTTATAACAAATTTAAGGAAAGAAACATTTTTTATGAATAGTACTATACGGTATGAACAATACCGTGAACAGTAATGAACAATACCGTGAACAGTGCTACAGTGCACCGACGCACTGCTATAATGTACCGATGCACTGCTACAATGTACCGATGCACAAAAACATCGAATATAAATTGTGTATCGATGCACTGCTACAATGTACCGATGCACTGCTACAGTGTACCGATGCACTGCTATAGTAACTTCAACTCAACTTATATAAAACTCATAAAAATTTAAGCTTTCATTTAAAAACAAATTTTACCATATAATTTATCTTACATATTTATAAAATCACTTATGTCTATACCTCCTAACTTAAATATTGTTCTCATAGAGTTTCATAACCTTTCTCATGTATTCACTTATACCATATAGTATAAATTATACTTGGTCATCTTATGTTCACATGTTCATTTCATTCCTTATGCCTTTGTCACATAATTTACTTCATATTCTTATACAATCATATAGATCATTTGTATTATTTTACATGACTTATCACACTAACATATACTTATGTACACATATAAATCATAACAATCATAGGCTTGTGCTTATGGAATCATTCATTTAAACATGGGAATGAGACTCATCATAAGTTTTACCCAATTATGTATACATCATCTATATATAATATTATGCATGCATTACAAATCAAATAACATTGTAAGAGTCACTTCCTACCATAGTAACTCTGTCACTGGTTCATCGCAAGCCAATGTTTGTTCTATAACATAAGTACAAGTTAAATTGCACTCACCTTAGCCTTGCTTTGATTCAATCATAATTCTTTGATTGTTCCGGAACTTGTTTAGGCTAAATATCTACACAAACATAATTTTCGAGATGATTATCAGAAGCCTAAACCTTATAACTTGATGTTAATAACTTAAGCTAATTTAATGAACCCAAAATTCCTTTTTCCTTTAGGGGTGTATCGATGCACTATGGGTGCATCGGTACCCAAAATAGCTTCAAATTTCTCATGCATCGATGCATGCCGGTGTGTATCAATGCATCTTCAAAATTGATCTTAGTGCATCGGTACCCAATTATAGTGTATCGATGCACATGTCAATAATGAACTGGTTTCATCCGAAAATTCCATAACTTTTCATTAAATTTCCTCATATAAAACTCCTTTAATACCACTAAACTCAACTACAACCATTTTAATTAACTTTTATCATTCCAATACCTTACTATCTCATCCAAATTCTTAAAGCTAAGAATCATACCAAATTTTCCATGTTATCCAAACTTAATTCCAACACTTATATCTTCTTATTCATACTTATGACAAGTCAAATTCCATCTCAGAGTTCATTTATTAATTTTTTCTTCTTCATAAATTCACTTTGAAACCCATTCTCTTTAATCTTTCATAACTTCTTCATCTTTTGATTTTAAGACAAATTAAGTTTTCCTTAAGCTTAATTATCATCTAAAGATCAAAACCCATACTTTAAATCAACAAATTAGAAAACTTACCTTTGCAAGCTTGACTCCCTTTCTCTCGTATGATGAAGAAGAAGAGGAAGAAGAAGATGAAAGAATTATGTGGAATCAAAATGGATTCCACGTATGTTTCCCTTATCTTATAAGGGAAATAAAAACCTTTCATGTCAATTAACCATTTTGCCCTTCACTTCATTTAATAATTGCTAACAATTATTCATAAACTATTTCCAGATAAGTCATTGAACTATTCCACTTTAATCACCAAATTCTAAAATTTTAAAATTTAGTCACTAACTCATAGTTTGAGATGTTACACTAGGAGAATGGGGATTAATAATCTCACCTTAGTTTAGCCACACTAGAATTGAAATGCTTGAAATCTTAATTTTTGGAAAGGAAGAGGAAGAGAAATAGAAGGAATAAGAAGAAGAAAGTTTGGTGAGATATGGGGGAGTAGTTCATGTAACCTGATATAGAAAAGGAGTAGTTTTGTATATGATTTTCGGGTTGACTGAAACTACTAACTCGAGTTTCGGGGCATTACAATAATACATTTGTACCACATAACAATCGGCTGATATGTTGATTTAGGCCTTTAGGGTGCAACAACATTCTCATCTGCTGTCCAAATTGGAAGTTCAATCTATTTTAAACCTCCAACTAGAAGGGAAGTGTAGAGGTGTAATAACATATAATTAGTTTAGTTTAATTTGTTAAATAATTGGTTATGAGGTTATTAGCATACTTGTTTAAATATCGATGTAAAGTTATCATTTTATATATAATAAGTATTCTTCAAGTTTTAACATAAATTATTATAAAACAAGAATAAATATAACTTAATCTATAAAATTTGTAGACATAATCTATGAAGAAATTTAAATATAGTTATATAATGACTCATAATATTAATGTAATTAAAAATAATAATTTTTGATGTAATATATAAATTATCATATCATCATTTTAGATATATTAGGTATCATACCATCACTTACACAGACATGTCATGTGTCAAATTATCACTTATATGTATATAATAGTGTCACGTCATTTTTTTGGACATATAGGATGCGCTACATTGGTGCTTTGAACACATAGGATATGTCACATCTGTTCTTTGGACATATAAGATGTACTATATCAGTGCTTTGAACACATATGATATGTCATGACAATAAAAACATTAATCATTAGTCAATTAACGGTTATAATCCAAATATTTTTGACTAAAAATAAAATATTAAGATTGAAGTACAAACAATTTCATATGTTGTTTATCTTATAATATTATTTATTATTATAAAATTAAATTTATGTGTTTAGTAAAGAAAATATATGATATAAATGAATTCTTACATATTACAAATTTAGAAAGATAAATTAAATCGAATTGAATGATCAAAACATAACAAAAACTTAAGTTTAATGTGATTTTGAAAGAAAGAATAGTTGGGTAACCTAAATAATACAACAAGAATATTAAATGACTAAATATATATTTTATTTTTTTAACAGAAATAATTGTTTGAGATAAACTGGACAACGATTTAAACAAATGATAAAATAAACTAAAAATTACTTTAAGAGACGATTCGATAAAAATGATATAATTTGAATTTAAACCATAAGTATAAATTATATCAGGTTGGGTTGAGTCGGGCAGACAAAAAAAAATCCGTCCAGCCCATTGCCATATCAAGTACTAATTAGATGAAACCTTACCCTTCACAGTCTCCCATGTCATCACCATCTGGTGAAGTAACTTTCAGCATCCTTCAAAGTGTAAGTAAAACTTCAATCTTTTTTCTCTATTTGTAAAACTTTTCATTTTAGAAATCATAGCAGTAGTTAACGTAGTCAATCAAATCCTAAATTAATCTAACTGTGGATATGTTTCACGAGTTCATCATCATCTGCTATTACTGAAACTTTTAGTCAACTGTTGATTAGGCAGTTCAGATTTTGCTCCTTTTTTTTATTGGTTTTGAATCTTACTACGAAAAGTAGTAATCATTTTGAATCTTAATAAGAAAAGTAGTAATCATTTTACCAAATTAATACATCTTGATTAGGTGTTTTTGTGGCGGAGAAAGCTGTTTGGCTTTGAATTTGGATGAAAGAAGCTGAATAGAGTTAAAGAGAAAGAACAATGAAATTAACGCCAAGAGAAGTGGGGAAGCTTGTCCTTCATAATGCAGGGTTCCTTGCCCAGAAGCGCCTGGCTCATGGTCTTAGGCTCAATTACACTGAAGCTGTTGCTCTCATTGCCACTCAGGTGATTTTTATACTCTACAATTTTGTGTATATGTATATAGTACAAAGTCAATTTGTTATCCAGACTTGGGATAAGTGTTGGATACCGGTATATGTACTCCGATACAAACATGTATTAGGATTCAATTACATAATATAAAATAGACGATTTGTAAAACTAAAAAGATTTACATTGTGTAAGTAGATTCTAAATATATATTATGTCAATTTGTTATCCAAACATGAGTTGGTTGTTGGATCCATGTATTAGTACATGTCTGATAAGAGTATGTTCAAATCAATTGTTTCCAAGTGTTTTCTTATATATGAAATATCATGCCCTCGTACTCATGTTCGGGCATGTCTGGCATAGATGTCAGATATAAGTACGATTGTAAATGAGACGAAACAGATTGTAAGTTATTTGAGGTTGACTCGGTCAAAGTTTGTTCAACACTCGAATTGAATAAAACGACTCGAGTTCTCAACGAGCCGAAACGCGTTACTTAATATCTGAGTTGAAAAGCTCTAAGTAATTACAAAAAATAGTATATTCATTTTTTTTATTTTTAAAATTAAGTTATTAATAACATCAACAATTATATATATATTTTTTAAAAAATACAACATGAGATTTTCATGTATTTAAAGTTCAGGTTTGAGCTTGAGTTAAGCTTCAATCGAGCTAAGTTGAGAATGATTCGAGTTCAAGTTTCTTCTAGCTCAAGTCGAGCTTTATTTTTTATTTCGAGTAAATGAAGAGTCAAAGCCATGCACCTTCGCAAACCGGAGTAGATAATTAAGGATTTTGATAGAAATTGTTCATAAATAGAGTTGTTGGTTTCCAGAGCTAAGTCAATTACATGCCTGTAATTTGCTGTGTACCAGTCTTCCCTTTAATATTTTTTCTTAAAGTAAGCAAAATCAAAATTTCACATCCCTTTTGATATGTTCTTTTCCACCATAGATTCTCGAGTTTGTTCGTGATGGTGACAAGAGTGTGGCCGAATTGATGGACATTGGCAAACAACTTTTGGGAAGGTATGCAACCAGTTTGCTTGGATTCTTCATTTCTCTTAAACTATTGGTGACCAGCTCTTATATCCAAGGACGAACGCATGATTTTATGTTTTGGGATGAAATTGAACTTATAAAATTTTAGGTGGTGCAAAAACATATTTTCAATAGAAAATACATAGAAAAAATCTAAAATATATGGTAATTTTGGATTTTTAGGAGTGCGACCGCCCCCACTTGCCCCCGCCTAGGTCCATCCCTGCTTATATATGATACATTTTGAGACATGGATATGAGATATGATTCTAAAAATGACATTTCAAACACATGAAAAAAACTAGAAAGACTTAAACATACATGTGCGGGACACATACCTGAATCCAACACTCACATCGGTATCAGAATAACATAAGCATTGACAACGTTTTGCTTTGATCTCTCTCTCTCACACACACACATATATATATATATTATTTTTGTAGAAACAAATGTTAATTCTAATTAATGTATAAACAGGAGGCAAGTTCTTTCGTCTGTGCCATATTTATTGGATTCTGTTCAGGTAACTATGTTTTAGATAATCATAAATGACATTGAATTTTTCATATATGGAGGCCATATCCTCATTCATGTGTTGGACATGAGTGTCGTTATGGACGCTTTAAAAAAATAAAAGAGTTGGAGCAATACACCCCTGAAGAGCCATTGTTCCAGATTTTTCTTGGCTTATATTGTGAACTTTTTTTTTCTGTCAAAATCAACAATGCAAGTAAACCAACTGTTATTTTAATATAAGGTTGAAGGGACATTTCCAGACGGGACGAAGTTAATCACTATTCACGACCCGATCTCAAGTGAAAATGGAAACCTGCAGCTTGCATTATATGGTTCTTTTCTACCTGGTAGGTCATGCATATTTATATTTATATTTGGAAATACAAACTTTCTCAAAGAATATATGCATAATATATTAGTGATCTTACATGTTATTGACCCAAATGTGAGTGTCAGATGCTGATATGAGTCTAACACGGGTATGTTCTATTTTTTTCTAAGTTTCATTCCATGTATCTGTTGGGTATTTGGAGGGTCATATTCAAATATGTGCCAGACATGTATATTTTAAGCAAATATATGCCAGACATGTATAATCCTCCAAGGATCTTCCAAATACATGAAAATACTAGAAAACTTGTGCATATCGTATTGGACATACACTCATATCTGACACTTACTCTCCAGCTTAAACAAAATCATCAAATAAGTCTTTTCTTAATTACTTCTATGCTTGAAGATTTAGTAGATTGTGCAGATTAGTTAGAAATTGGAACTGGTACTACTTGAGAATATGAAGTATCCCAGTGGGAACTAAAAGAATATTGATAATGCAGTGCCTTCTAATGAGAAACCCAAAATAGAAGATAAAAATGTTCCCGGTGAAGTGATCACAAAAGGTGGGACGATTAGACTTAATTCCGGGAGGAGAGCAGTAAGCCTCAGAGTCACTAACAAGGGAGACAGGCCGGTTCAGGTGTTCGAAGCTCTCTTCTTTCCTTCATATTTGTTTTTCTCTTGTTTAGAGTCTGATCAATTTCACATCAGTTTCAGTCTATATTTTTAGGATTTGAGTGCAAGTGTTAGGTACGGATAATTATTAGGATATGAGTGTGTGTTAGATCTGGATATGATTAGATTTTCTAGGTGTTTCTAGTGAAAACTTGGAGGTCATAACTCTGAATCCATATGTTTAACATGAGCATTTCAAGAAGAATGTTGGGTGCCAACAACATAGCTTTTGGTACCAATATATATCTGTGTACGTAACTCTGTAACTTGGACACGTGTGTGTATGTTGGATATGAGTATGTGCTTTTTCGCGGGTATGTTCATATTTTTTACAAGTTTTTCCCACGTATTTGGAGGATGTTATCTCCATATCCATATCAGAAAATATGTTTGACATGTGTCGGACACAAGCACTTAATAAGAATGAACGGACTTAGTAACATAGGTACAGAGAATTGACCTAAAATACTATGCCATATAACTAACCAATAAACTTCTGTTAAAATTTTCCAAGGAAGAATTGAAAGATCTATGCTAACCCTTCAAATATTTTTCAGGTAGGAAGCCATTATCACTTTATTGAGGTAAACCCTGGCTTGGTTTTCGATCGAAGTAAAGCATTTGGCATGCGGCTAAATATACCAGCGGGAACAGCTATAAGATTTGAGGTTGAGCATTTTAACCTTCATCTGTTGATAAGCTTTTTTTTTTTTGATAAAAGATAAGCTTGTTTTTTTTATCATTTTTTAAGTCAAATAACGGTTATTCATTGATCATGAAGTGAGTGTCGGTCATGTATATGTGTCGAAACAGGTATGTTCAATATTTAATTATGTGCCTGAACCAAATTATTTCAATAGTTAAAGGAATTGTTGTTATTCCTAGAAGTCCCAGGTTTAAGCATCAGCAACTGTAGCATGAGTATTTACTTATGTTTTTCCATATATTCAGAGATTCATACTCTTATACCAAGTCTGAATGTGTCTCACACTCGTATGTTTAAGTAAAATGAAAAGTTGGAACAACATAGGTACAGATTTCCCTTTCTAGTAATAAAACCAGTGGTACTCAGTTTTTTTTTTCTTTCTCAAGAGCGGTTCTTATTTTCATTTATTTAGGAAATTCGCCCCTGGATTTGTAAGAAATTATAGATGCTTTCATAGGAATCGATGACATAAAAAGGTAGTACTGATGTCTTTTATTATACAGCTATGAAACTTATACTGGTTCGACTCTTCATTTTTCTTGGGAAGTGTATGTCTTACATAACTAGTGTATATTTGGATACGGGTATGAGATATGATCTTCCAAGTACATTAAAATATTGGAAAAAAGTTGAACATATCTGTACCAGACACATATCCGTGTCCAACACTCACACTCAGCGTTGTAAGAATTTAGAAGAGAGCATTTTGTTGATATAGGAGGGTTGTTTAAGTGTTTCTATGACATTAGTAGATATATTTGTTGGTTTAGGATCAGCACTTGGTCTAATCCGAACCTATTCTTTGACTGAAAGATGTTTTCCTTTTCCAGCCCGGAGATAGTAAAACCGTTGTGCTAGTCAGCATTGGTGGTAACCGAGTGATCAGAGGAGGAAATGGAATTGTTGATGGCCCTGTCGACACCGCCAATATCGAAACAGTGATGGAAACTATAAGGAGTAAAGGTTATGAGAATATGGAGGACACAAATGCTAGGTTTTAACTTGAGCTAGAAACTTATTATCGTCTTGTTTTACTTCAATCTTATTTCACCAAAAGAATTTCTTGATTAGCAAGCATCGTCTACTTAAATACAAAAACATTGATGCCTTGACTTATTTTGCAGCGAAGGCGAGACTGGACAAGATTCTGATTTTACCGCAACGATTTCTTCTGAGGCATATGCTAACATGTATGGCCCTACTACTGGTGACATGATCCGGCTCGGCGATACGAATATGTATGCTGAAATAGAACGGGATTTTGCTGTATATGGTGATGAATGCGTATTTGGTGGCGGAAAAGTTATAAGAGACGGCATGGGACAATCATCTGGGCATCCACCAGAAAAATCTTTAGATACTGTTATAACAAGTGCTGTGATTATTGATTACACTAGTATATTCAAGGCAGATATTGGTATTAAAAATGGCGTAATTGTTGGACTTGGGAAAGCGGGCAATCCGGATACCATGGATGGAGTTTCGCCAAACTTGATCATCGGTGTAAGTTTTTTCTTTCTTCATATGAATGCATTGTCCTAGTATAATTATACTAATGTCTGATACCATCGACTCTCAGGTTAACACTGAGGTTATTGCTGGAGAAGGATCAATCGTAACTGCAGGGGCTATCGACTGTCATGTGCACTTCATATGCCCTCAGTTGGTTCATGAAGCTATTTCAAGTGGTAAGCTACATTTTCAGGCATACTTGGCTAAAGGTGTTACCGAAATACGTAAAATGCATAAATCTTACATATCGTTATGGTGCAAGAGAGTTATTAAAGGGACAACATCCATGTTACATAAATACTTCAGGAAAAAAAGTGAAGAGTCGGATTAATATAGATTATAGAATCATGTATCTTTATCAAATATTTAATGTAGGCATCACGACATTAATTGGAGGTGGGACTGGACCGGCGGAGGGAACACGCGCAACTACTTGCACACCGGCACCGTCGCAGATGAAAATGATGCTGCAGTCCACTGATGACTTCCCTTTAAATTTTGGGTTCACAGGGAAGGTAAGATTATTATTTTTGCATAATTTATTCAACCCCTTTTTTTCTTGTTAATCCATGCATAACACAAAACATGTATGATACATACATGTACTCATATCCAGCATTCACACCTTCGTTATCATTAGAGTTTTCCATTGCAACCAAATATTATTTTTTCTTACTTAGGGAAATGGTTCCAAACCCGAAGAACTGCATGAAATAGTCAAAGCTGGAGCAATGGGATTGAAGCTGCATGAAGATTGGGGAACTACTCCTGCTGCAATAGACAATTGTTTAGCTGTTGCAGAACAACATGATATCCAAGTCAGACAAACAAGAACGCCAATTCTTTCCCTTTTTTTAAAATTACATTTTTAACGATAAACTCGTTTTGTATATCGATTGGTTTTTGGCAGGTTAATATTCATACTGACACCTTGAATGAATCTGGATTTGTGGAACACACAATTGCTGCATTTAAAGGAAGAACTATTCATGCTTATCACAGGTATAAATATCTTAGCTAATGGCTTTAAATTTTAGCTTGAATTCAGTCCTATTTGAGTATAAATATCTTTCTAATTTCAGAAGTAGTTAAGAGTCCTATTTGAGTTCTATTGATGTTCATGATTGATGTAATTTTCGGCAGCGAAGGCGCTGGCGGTGGTCATGCTCCGGATATCATCAAAGTATGCGGCGGTAAAAATGTTCTCCCCTCATCAACAAACCCGACACGCCCTTATACTTCCAATACAGTAGATGAACATCTTGACATGCTGGTATGAGAAAATAACAGTGATGTTACTTGAAGTCTTGAACTCGGATGAATGTCGGTATGCTCGATTCTTTTTCCATTCTCATGCATTCCTATCTTTGCAGATGGTTTGCCATCACCTCAACAAGGATATTCCTGAAGATGTAGCGTTTGCGGATTCAAGGATCAGGGCCGAAACCATAGCCGCCGAAGACATATTGCACGACATGGGGGCAATCAGCATTATATCTTCCGATTCGCAGGCTATGGGTCGCATCGGCGAGGTTCATTTCTCATTTTGCATGTGCTTATAAGACAAAACTGGGAAATTCCAAGATCGAAACGAGGAAACAAGTTCAAATTCTTTCTTTCCAGGTGATAAGCAGAACTTGGCAAACAGCGGACAAGATGAAATCGCAAAGGGGTCCTCTTCATAACGAAGAAACTTCTTCTAATCTAAGAATCAAACGGTACATTGCAAAATACACCATAAATCCAGCCATTGCTAATGGCATTGCAGAATTCGTCGGTTCGATCGAGGTATATCATTTTCTCTGTATATATGTTGAAAATATCCAGCTCTATAGATGATGACTGCATTCATATCCGTTGGATTTATCGTCACTAAATTTGACTTACATTGGCTATAATATATGAGTTTCATCTTTCAGGTGGGGAAGTTGGCTGATCTTGTTTTATGGAAACCGGCCTTCTTTGGGGCAAAACCCGAAATCGTAATCAAAGGCGGTATTATTGCTTGGGCCAACATGGGAGATGCTAATGCAAGCATCCCAACACCCGAACCGGTAAAATTCCGATTTCATACCTGTACAAATGCCGATGTTTGTTTTCGATTCGTATTTAGACATGAGCTCGAAGATATGACTCTTCAATACATGAAAAAACTTCCCAAAACATGGATTACATAACCGATAATCGCACCTGAATGTAATGAGATCAATCGAAGAAGATTACTTGAGCACTTTTATTAAAGATATGAGTTGTTACAGGTGTTGTCAAGGCCAATGTTCGGAGCATTCGGCAAGGCTGCAAGTGCCAACTCCATCGCTTTTGTCAGCAAGGCATGAATCTCTCTCTTTCTATCATTCATATATATATATATACAGGTTTAGGATCTACTTACACCTAGCGTAAAACCAAGAATTTTACACATTTTTAGGACCGTTTGATTGTGAGATATCAAAGATTGAGATTAACTCATTGTTTTTTTTCTTCTAGTGAATATCTTCTCATTTCCTCTTGTTAATCTCAACCTTTGATTTCTTTCATCCAATGGTCCTAAAAAAATAAAAAATAAATAAAAAACTCTTAATTTTACACTAAGTGTAAATGAATCATGACTTTTATATATATATATATAATTTTTGGATGAATTTAAATAGATTTTTCATAAAATTTTAAAAAGAAAAAAAATAATACTAATATACAAAGTTTTATTCTCAACCATCTATTTATTTAGTTAGATTCATCCAATTATATTTTCATAATAATTAATGAATTTTACACCATGTAAGTAAATTTTACCATACATAAACACATATCAACATTCACTTATACAATATAAAATGTAGAAATTTTACACGTTTTCTGGACCGTTTGATTAAATGAGTTTAATGCATGAAACTTTTAAATCTACTCTTTCTTTTTTTATACGAGAATCTCACTTCCTATTACAAATCTTAGCTATTCATTTTTATTCATACAACGATTCAAAATATGTATAAAACTTTTAAGTTTTATATTGTGCAAGTGCATACCAAACCAAACTATTGTCGTTTTATCAATGTTAGATACACATGTATATGTAGGGGTAGGATCCATATACATATATATATATATATATATATATATATGTCTATACACATACATGGATTAGCACTCGGTTACATCGTATAAAATTTAGAAATTTTACATGTTTTTTTAATAGTTTGATTAATGCCATAAATAACTGAACTGGTTTTGAAAAAATCAAATCAAACATTTTTGCATTATTATCCAAACCATTAAACCCGAATTTAAACCGGACCAAATATTACAGTTGATTTCAGTTGTAGGGTTTCTGTGTTACATTATAAGTTGTGTTGTGAAAAAACAGGCTGCTTTAGACAGCGGAGTTGCGGAGTCCTATGGAGTGAAGAAGAGAGTGGTAGCTGTCAGCAATACCAGATGTCTAAGCAAGCTCGACATGAAGCTCAATGATGCTCTCCCTCATATTCAGGTGGACCCCGAAACTTATGTCGTGATGGCCGATGGCGAGGTTCTCACGTGCGATCCCGTGGCGACAGTTCCCCTCTCCCAGAACTATTTCCTCTTCTAGATAACGCTCAAACTGTCAAAGCCATCGTTTCAATAGAGTTTTTTTGGTTCCGTTAGTCTGGTTATTAAACCTGACACAGACGTGAATTAAGTTTTAAACATTACGCCTAATGCTCAAGTAAACTTGATTAAAACGTTACTGATAATTTAGCAGCTCAATTAGAATATTTTGAAATTTGGGAACCAATTCAAAATCTAGACATAGTTTGGGAATATTGGGTGCAATTAACTGGATGATAAATGAATATAAGGGGAGAGGATAACGTATGTAAGAAAACCCTATCCTAGCCGTAAGGTTGTAGAAAGGTCTAATTTATAGTTCCAGCCCTCAACAATCTTCAACCTTGAGATTTAATCCCTCAACTTTAGTGCAATTTATGTCCAACTTTGACAGCAGCAACTAACAGGGTTATCAATTAGAGTTCTGCAAATAACATCATAAAAACAGCCGTAGAAAACTAAAATTGGAAGAGAAAATCTAAGAAATTGTAATAGACCAAAGTTTGCATGGTACCTCTACAAGGGACAAACTAATTGGAAAGTTTGATAAAATCCAGAATATGCAGGCAATCAACCTCCTCTACCTGCTTGCTTTGAAACTGAAGCTAGTCATAAAAGGATTCCAGACCTGATTATAACTTGGATCACCTAGACCATAAGTGAAATATATCAAAATCTATACTTTCTTCCCCAGAAAACCTAAAGGCCATGCTAAGCATAAAGACAAAATTTGAATCAATAATCTGTCAAGTGCATGCCTGCCATTTGGCTAGACCGGATAAAGAGGGCACAAGATAAAACAACAAATATTGAACACATAGTCACAGGGAAGAGAAACATTCGCAACATCTCAACTTAACTCTTCAAAGCTTCTTTCCAACACAAGAAAATACTGTACTAAAACACCATAAAAATAATAATCCCATAAGATTAAGAAACAAACACAGTTGGCACTGCAATTTTCATAAAGCAAAGGCAATCTCTCATAGATGGACAATATTTAGCTAAGCCCATAAAACATTCCACAGATAATTAATAAATTACCTTTGATGTATAATGGTTACTGTGAATTTCTTCATCAATGGAAGGCAAAGAATGTCCTCCCCACTCCACACCAACCGTCTCTTTCAAACACAATGTGAATATTAAAAAAGATGGGACTCACAGTAGGAAGAAGCCATATTTTTTAGTATTCAAAACCAGCTATAAAAAGAAGGTTTACATCATTGTTCCAACAAAATATGTTGCACAAGTCTCAGCTGAACCTGATTGCTAAAAGGAAACGTGGCTGATATGCCACAACTTGCAATGCAAGCAGTGTCGTATGCATTTTCATATGATGAAAAAGCTGGAAATCAGATTAACCTGCAAAGCATCTGGCTCACAGGTAGAGGTATACAATATCTCCAGACAAATCATCATCAGTGCCTGCTAAAAAAAAAGCAAGAATGATCTTCTGAAAACAAAGTTTGCACTTCCGTTGAATGCATCTCTCACCTCAATAATGTCCCTCTAACAATAACGTGAAAAATATAAAACATGAAGATTAAATGGCACTGATGGATGAACTTTCTTAGCCAAACAAACTACCAGTCCCCAATTCCCCTTGTTGCCACTCCTCCTTACGTTGCTCTTGCAAAGGATCTGGACTCTTCAGCACTCTTCTCATTCGCCTAACAAGATGCAAAAGACCTTATTTAAAAACTTAACAATAAATAAAACCCAAATTACAAAAATAAAACAGTAGTCATGATGTCTTTTCGTTTCTGTTGTTCAATACCTGTCTTGAGCATGTTGGGCAGGGAAAGTGGGCATGAAAGCTTTAGTCTTGGGAAGGGGAACTTCGCGAAACCACTCATGGTTAACAGCATCTCCAGCTGTTATACGCTGAAGGTGATATCAGAAGGCTCAATCAATCATACAAAAAAGGAATAATTACAAGGTAACTCCAATAAATACGCAAGCCAAGTTACCTTCTCAGGATCATAAGTAAGAAGTTTATTCAGCAAGTCAAATCCAGCATCAGAGAGAACAGGTGTACCCGTGAATGATGTGGCTGGGAACTTTTTGCGCAATAGATTATACCTGAAAGGAAATATATCAGTCATTAATACAATAAAAAATTAATGTTTTGTTACTGAACTGTCACCAATGGAGGCCACAAAGCCAGAACAGAATCACCCAAAGCTGGAAGCCTGGGAAAACAGTGGGAAAAATAAGACAACGTGAATATTGCACTCAACAGAATCTAAAATCAAATTATATAGATTTAATACTTACTGATGCTTGACAAAGTTGACCTTGACACCAGGCAACTTTGAAAAACCAGGCCATATTGTCTCATTTGGTGTGCCAAGTGTTCTGAAAATCTGCAATTAGTAAAACCCAAGCAACAAATCCAAGATCATTAACCACCATGTGCAGATTGAACTATTCCAGAAATAGTACATCCAGATGGTAGTGGTTAATAAAAAGTAAGACCAACTGCTTTAGTTCACCTTGTCAAGTTGATCAAATTCAGTTTTCCCACTGAAAAGTGCTTCTTTCGATAGTAATTCAGCCATGATACAACCCAGAGACCACATGTCAATTGCGGTGGAATATTGTCTTGCTCCCAAAAGAAGTTCTGGTGCCCTGCAAAACCAGCCAACATAAAGAAGTCCTGGCTACTTGAATCCCGAAATATAAATGCTCCGATAATTGGTCAACCATACTTGAGACAAATTAACAATACAAAAGCAAAACCTTCAAAACTTTACAAATGTAAAAAACCAGCTATCACTCTAATGTAAAAACCACCTTCATACTTCTCACTAACCACAAAGAGAGAAGTCCAAGTAATAATTCAATCAAGTAAACTTTAAGACATTAACAGTGCAAAAACAAAAGGTTAAGTCTTAAAAGTATATAAACAGTAAAAATAGGATTTGAATTTAAAAAAGTTTACAAAAACGGAAGTCCAAATAACATCTCATCAAGTCAAGTTCGTACCTTTTCAAAGCTTCCTCCAAGGAACTGTTACCTCAAAGACTTAAGAAGTTCTACTATTCATCACTTAAACAGATAACAATAACAAAAAGCGGGGATGTTTCCTTCAATAATTAAGATTCAACACTTACATACCCAAATTCACATTTCAGAATTATTTTCCATACATCCAATCACAAACAGCTTATGAAATTATAGTCTATAATGATGAAGAGAAAAAAATCAGTCATAATTATTTCATCAACAAATATGAGGATTAACACATTTAGGAAATGGCATGCATATCTCACCTGTACCAAAGAGTAACCACCAAATGCGTATATGGTTTTAACGGGATTCCATAATGACGAGCCAACCCAAAATCACAAATCTTCAATTCACCTTGGTTATTTAAAAGAAGATTAGATGTCTTCAAATCTCGATGGAGAACCCAGTTATCATGAAGATACTTGACACCCTCCAGTAGCTGCAGCATCAAGCATTTAACTTCACTTTGGCCGAATGGTTGTTTTATTGTTTCCATCAGCCCTTTCAGATCGTGTTCCATGTATTCCATCACCATAAAGATACTATCAAGGCTACTGCCTACAACTACTTCTTTAACATCTACAACCGATGGGTGATGAAACGAAAGAAGAAAGTTTATTTCCCTCAGAGAGGTCAGAGGAAAACCTTCTCTTTCTTTCTCCATCTTTACCTTCTTCAACGCCACAATTTCCCCCGTCTTCTTGTCCCTAGCTCTATACACAACGCCATAAGTACCTTCATCTATCTTATTTAGTCTCTCAAATTCATCTACACTCCTACATCCCTGAAGCATGTTTACACTTCTCAAAGGAGAAACTGGAGGTTCTGGCATTCCAGGTGAATCATTTTCATTCTCAGAATCTGTATCGGACTCCCTAACACTACTGTCATTTCTATCACATTCAACGTCAATCTCCATGTAGTCATTCTTCTCTGAATAATTACCTGGGTAATCATACCCACTTCCAGACCTGGAACGGGCAGCTCGTTCATCAGATTCAGATGATCTGGCTCTAGTTCCCTCTGAGCCTTCCCCGTTAAGCTCCTCAAGCTCTGGTGTTGTTGACTTATTCTGAGATCTTTCATGAGCAGTTTCTGAAACAGGCAACTTTTTCCTCGTTTTAGGCATTTTCTCATCTTCAAAAATTTCACCCTCATCACCAGGAGAACTACCACCAGATGCCCATCTAGAGGAAGATATATGTCGGGTTGGTACATAATCTTCTAGTTTCCCAGTATCTTGATTGTTAACCTGCTCTTTTGGTGGAGACAAATCCAAATCGACTGGAGACTCCAAAGCAGAGTATCCAACAATTTCAGCAGCAGCAGCAGCAACTGGCGAAGGAGATTGTGATTTATCCTTTTTGCTTTCTCTAACAGAAGAAGTCAGTACGGTCCCACCAGATATCTTGTTAGGTGAACTGCGATGAGCTTTAGGCACTATTGGTGGAGGAAAGGCTATGACTGCTGATGACTTCCTACTTTTCGATGCGGTGCTTAATTCCTTATCATCTATATCCCATACTATAGGTGAAAACTTCCTTTTCTTTCCCACAAGAGACTGAGCATCATTATCCATTGCTTTCACAGCCTCACTATTTCTAACCACCGACTCATACTCCATGGCATCTTCTGATTCGCTTTCACTAGACAACTCACCAGATTCCTTATCTATTACCCTAAGAGAAAACCCACATCGCCTGGGACCACGACTACCTCTGCCACCAGTGCCATCAGAATCGCTTCTACTCGAAGAGGGCCAATAGCCACCATTTACAGCTTCCCTCTCCTTAGTTTCCTTTTGTCTTACCCTAACTCTATCTCTTGCCTCCATTACTCGAACCCTTTCGTCATTACGGCTATCATTCCTAGATGACTCATAATCTTTAGAATTACCAAATTCTCGCCTCATCACCTCAAATTCAGAATCCCTCTTCCTAAACCCATTATCATTATAACCCCCATTCCTCCCAGCAGCCATGAGTAAACCTCAAATAGTCGGAAACCCAATTTCCAATTCAAGAATTTCCTTCTGAGTTGTTCGCTTATAAACCCTGAACCTTCGTAAACAAGAAGCACGGCCCCAATTCCAAGGAAAAGCAAAACCCAGTAGTTAATCAATACGAAATCATCCAATGACAAGCAATCAGAACATCCGAACCAAATAAAAGTATCGGATCCTCGATTTTCGAGATGAGTAACTCGAAAATGATCAGATTACAATAGAAAATAAAAGACAAGACGAAGCGGATAAACCCTAGAAGATCAAAATTTTCAACGATGCATCGATTATCCCTAATTCTCTCAACCAAATTACGAGAGAAAAGAGAATTGAGAGTATCTATGGCTTACCGGTGAGGAAAAAACATGGACGCAAAAGGTGAAAGTCGGCGATTGCCGGTTCTCTGGAGGGGTGGGTACGGAGCTTTCGATTTTCGAAATCTCGAGAAAGCCAAGGCCAGAAAACGCTGTGTTTTATTTTAGTTGGAGGCAAACAAAATTCCTTAAATTATTATAAATTAATTAATTGCAATTTTAAAATTATGGGTGAATTGCATTATAGACCACTGAACTTAACGTTCAAAATAGATTAAAAATATTTAATTCATTAAATACATCTTCCAACTTTAATTATAATAAATTAAATCATTTATATTACTATCGTCAATTTATTTAAAATAAAAATTAATATTAAATTGACATTTAAATGTAATTTTAAGCCTTTCTCACACTATATTACACCTCACATTTTATTTTTAATATTTTTCTTTCAAATTGAAGTGATTTATTTTTATACGACAAAATGATCCCACCTTTCATTTTTATTTATGGAAGTGATCCTACTAACTCAGCTTATTGGATTCAAATCCCGATCTTATTCTACTTCTTTATAAAATGAATGATGTAAAATTTTAAGGGTCGAAATACTAATTAGTTCTATCGAAATCTCACAATTAAACGTACTTGAAATCCGTATTAAAATGGGTGATCACCGGGGAAATCCTCGTATCGAGCTTGCTTTATTTGCTCTGTCAGATAAATTGTTTGGTTAAAGTTGCATCTCTTTAAACGATCATACCATTTCCAAGTCTATGATGACTTATTGTTGTTTCAAAAGATGAGGGGAAGTAAACATACATGGCGCAAGTTCTGAAGCTTAATAAATCGACGGAGGCGCTAGAAGAGGAAATAGTTCCGAGACAACGGAACCGTCGTCGCGGGACCAGAAGCGAGAACCTCGCCATCAGCTCTCACGACGTATGTTTCGGGATCTACGTCGATCTGCGGGAGAGCATCATTGAGCTTCATGTCAAGCTTGGTTAGACCTCTGACGTTGCTTACAGCTTCTAGTCTCTTCTTCAGTCCGTACGACTGTATGGTTCCGCTATCTAATGCAGCCTGTTTCGAGAAGGAAAGAAAAGGGTTGATGCAACTCTACTTATTCATCTTGCATGGTTGAAACTGGAAAACCCTAAAACACAAAACCGAACTCAACTGTAACGTTTGCTCGGGTTTCAGTTCGAGTTTTATTGGATATGATTCAGTTTTGGTCTGGATAATAATTCAACATATCTGGTTCGGTTTCTCTATAGGACTGTAATTATTAGAATCAAATCAAATTCTTTATTGTTATAATACAAAATCTTACTTTAAAACTGATGAACCAAATAGTTAAGCACTTTTTACTAAAGGAATTACATTATTTTTTTTCTAAAAATATATTTAAGTTCGGGTTAGATTTTTTAAGGAATATACCGGGTCGGATGCTGGTGGAGGGTGAAAAAGCTTTGATCTGTTCCAATGATAATAATGTAATTTCCTTTTTAAAAAATCATTTTTTAATTTAACCCTTATTTTGTACCCGGTTGGGTCGGATCGGATGAAGGAATGATTTATAATTTCAATTCGGGTCGGAATACTCTAAAATTTCGCGTTAGATCGGAGTAGGTATAAGATATATATTTTCAGGTCGGGTCGGATGAATTGACCAAAAACTTGACCCTAACCTGACCCTTTGTCTCTAGGTATAAGTAATATTTAAGACTTAGGGGCTGTTTGTTTGGCTCTGAATGGAATCATTCAGCGTTGAATGCTGAACCGTTCAATATTCAGCGCGTTTGTTTCTCAACTCTGAATGATTCAGTGTTGACTGATTCAGCAAAACAGTACTGAATGATTCAGCACAGAAGTACATTCTGAATGATTCAGAGCTATTATCAAACAACATGTCACATTTAGAACTTATTCATACAGAGCTTCTGAATCATTCAGTATTTAAAAATGAGATTATTTAAAATAATTACAGGTAGATGAGACTTCAAGTAAATTAAAAATGAAATTTGGTCAATATCGAATCGAGTTTCAAACTTTAAAATTTAAATCAGATTTAGAGTGGTTAAAACTACGGTAAAACTCGATTCGAATTCGATTTTATTTGGTGATAAATCTTAGCCAAAACTGAATTTGGCTGTAAAAAGAAATGTGAACCAGTTTGGTCCCAACTTTGAAACGAGATTTAATCAAAATGACTGCATGTGGATAAGGTCGCACACAAACTTGACGATCACGTTCCGGAAAAAGCTAAGCGATCGATTAACCAAGCCCGACATTTCGATCACACGGCAGTGGAACATGCTCGGAAGCTAGTCGACGAGGCTCGAACTGAGGGGCCGCAAGGAACGTTGCGCTATGCCGCGGGCGAGTACAAGCAGTTCTTTGCGGTATGCTCAACCTAGTTGTGTGTCAAACTTAATCACAACTCCGTTTTCCACTCGGTGACCGAGAAGGTCGTTCCGGTGGCGGCTAATTTGTCCGGTAGGTATAACGGTTTAGTTAATGACATTAGTGGCAAAGGGTACCTTTTGTTGGTTATAACAAAATCTTCGTATGATCATAGATCATATTCGAGTCATATTCAAGTTCGAGTTGAGATTAATTTTCTTGTTTTTGGTAAATAGAAATCTAAGTAAAATTGTGCATTTTCTGTTGTTATTAGTAGAGGCAAGGCCAAGTTTTCCATTGTAAATTATACGTTCGTTTTTAACTCTTTGCTTGTAAATACGAGTAAAATATGAATACCAGGTATAAAAACAGGTAAAGTACATAAATGCCTCTAATTATACGATATTATTTTATTAAGCTCCTTACTATTAAAATTTATAAACTAGTCCTCTAACTATAGGAAGTTGTTTTGTTGAGTACCTTGACTATTAAAAGTTACAAAATGATCACTCAACTATTTATTATATTTCAAACTCGTCATTTTTCGTTAAAAATTTGACAATTGTATGAGTTGTACGTTAACCTATTGATTAAGATATGATAAAATCTTATCTCATAATCTCAAACAACTATCATATCTCAGTCATCATGTTAACGTCCAACTCGTATGACCATTCATTTCTTTAAAGATTGATCGCTGAACGTAAATTATTTAACTTCTTAATTCGTAAATTTAATTGATTTTATTTCTCGATTTAAACATTAATGTGATATATGTATACACTAAAGAATTATATACATTAAAACTATAAAGAATAGAATAAAGCAATGTAAAGGAGTTATAAAAGTAATCAATTTAAATTTAAAAGTTTTTTTTTTTCTTTAAACAGAAAATAATAATAAAACTTTTGATTATTTAATAAATATTTATTTTATTGTTTCCATAATCAGGTGTTTGAGACCAGCTAGTCTGCATTAATTTGCTAATTATATAATAAGGTCATATAAGGTCATATGGTGCCCGGCTGGATGGCAGATTTTGGGTTATGACAATGGCAAAAATTCTAATTTGGTTTATTATATTTTTAGGTGTTTAAATTATATTTTAAAATAAAATTTTAATGTTTAAATAATTTTTTGTTAGAAACATGTGCCTAATGTTTTCTTTATTAAATTTTTAGTTGTTTACGATTAAAAAAATCGTTAAATAACACGTGTTAAATTTATATTTTTATATCCTAAAAATTATGTCGTGTGAAGCTTCCCTAAAACTTTTTTTTATTAAACTAATGTGATTACAAAATAGTATTAGTTCTAAATACTCTCAATCATTTGAGAATGAACGTTTAACCACCCTGATGCAATCGCTGGTGCTCGAACCCGTAACCTCTAGGAACAACAACGATTTCTTTAACCATTAAAGTAATTAGTTCGTGCAAAGCTTCGCTAAAGCTACGTAAGGTGCATATAAATGAATGTAATACTCAAATCAATTTCGATAGGGCCCAAAAATAGACCGATGACCATCTCTAATATTAACACAAGGATGGATGAACTCGGTAATAATTCAATCAAAATACCCTGAATGTTAATTATCTACAAATTCAAGGGTTGGTTTTGCCTCGGATTTACTTAAATCGAGTGGATTCGAGATCTAAAAACTCTTGAATTCAGGCCAGGTTTTCGAGTTAAGATTAAAATTGATATGTCTATATATGTGGAATATAAGCATGCATGCTTCAAAAAGAAAAACAACCTATAATCCAAGAATTAGAGCAAGGTCTAGCCTGATAAAATTTTCTGACACTTTCCCCAGAAAATAACACAGGGCCCTAAACTAATTAATGTCTTCAACTCAATTCAACAATTTTCAGCCTTTTTCCAACCATTTTCATGGGGAATCAAATTCATTCAAATAAACTGTACACACACATTTTTCGTAATCCACTATACTGAAATGCAACTTTTCTCGCTAAATTCAACAAGATTCACCAATTCCATAACCATGGAAGACAAAATTCATGAAAATCAATCATCAAGGAGAAAGAGTTAACTCGGAATTTCATATATTCATAGAAATTTCAACCCCAGAATTGTTAATCTTTTACAACAAAATTCTTCAAATTCTTAACGTAGAATTCACAACACAGTTGTAAAGATTACAATTCACCGAACTCTATGATCTTTTCACCGCTATTATATTACATAACTAAATTTCCAAAAATATAAGAGTTTATAGGCAAGAGTCAATACCAGGTAACTTAGAAGCCACGGTTCGTCGGTTGACGAACGGAAATCTGGACCGGAAGGGGACGACCGGAACCGGACCCACCGCAGCTGCTGCAAGCCATTCGACCCGACCCGGCGCAAGTCCGACAGCCGACATCTCTATCGGACCAACGGGAACAAGTGCACGCGATGCGACCCGTGCCGTTGCAAGTCGGGCATCTCGGAAACGGGCCGGCCATGGGTTTTTGATCCATGACGGATTTGACTAAGACGGCGCCGGCCAAGACGCTCAAGCCGGTGGCTACCTGAGTCAATACGTTCGGAAACATGTCGCCGGAGAAGATTTTTCTCAATTCAACTGGATATGGAGCAGTGAGAGGAAGACGAAAGGAACTAATAGCAGCAGAAGAAAATGAATAAATTTGAGAAATAAAATGGGAAAATATTTGAATTTTTTTTTTAGAAAAATTAAAATAATTGGCTGTGAATTTGAAGTAAAAATAAAATAAAAGCGGCATTCGAATTCTACACGTTAAGCCTTTGGGTTTTTGGTGGTGCATATGGGGCTTTGGATTGTAGCTGAGGTGATATATGATTATTTTCACGTTATCCCGCGTGATAGGACGGGATCACAATAGGTCGAGTTAAATCGATTTTTTATTAATTTAATTTAAAGTTTATTTTATTTTATTAGATTCAAAGATATATATAAAAATTTGGACTTAACTCAAATAATTTCTCATTTACGGCACAATAGTAGGACTATCGAAACCTAGATTCCCGTCGCACTGTGTCACCGGTGTTCCTCCGATCGTCTCAAGTTTCTCAACGGCTCAAACCTCTTCCTCTAATGGGTACAAATATGGATTGGCAAAAGCTCTTTGGATGCCAAGAGAGGCAAGAACTCCAATATTTTCTCCCAAAATCCAGCGAAAAAAAATCCCTATTATTCAACCTCCGCATGAACTTTTCGAGGCAGGCTCAGTGTAACATCCTTAATACCGGGTTAGTGACTAAATTATAAAATTTTAGAATTTGGGGATAAAAGTAGAAAAGTTGAATAGTTCAATGATTTATGTTGAGATATTTCCTGAAAGTTATTAGTAATTATTAAAGGAGATTAAGGGCAAAATGGTGTTTGTTATCTAAAGATAATTATCTTATCTCTTTATTAAGAGATAAGCTTGTGGGGGAGAGTTATCTGGAAAACTCTTCTCCCTTCTTCTTCCTCCTCCACGTGAGAGCTCAAGCAAATGTAAGATTTCTTGTTGTTGATTATTAGATGAAATTTAAGGTTGAGTTTTGATTATTAGGTAATAATTAAGCATAAGAAGAGCTTAAATTATCTTGAAACAATAAGATGAAGAGAATAGATAGAATTAAAGAAAAGAGAGGACTAAGTGAAATCTTGAAAGAAGGTTCTTTAATGAGGTTTTAGAGTGAATTTGACTTGTCATCAATCTAATTAACATGTATGAAGTGTTAGAATTGGATTTGTAACATGTTAAAATTTGGGTATGATTCTTGAATTTCTTAAGGAGAATAGGATATGGAGGTTAAAGAAGTGATTATTGAGTAGAAATGAGTGCGAATATGTATATGTAAGTTAGGAATATGATAGGGGATGAAATATGAAGCATTTGAGTTGAATTAAATGGATTTTCGGGCTTTAAAGAAGAAACATCGAATGCAATTGGTGCATCGATGCATAAGGAGTGCATCGATACATCCCTTTTAAAATGAAAACATCGAAGGTAATTTGTGTATCGATGCATGGGTAGTGCATCGATGCACATGTTAAAGAATGCATCGATGCACATGTTAAAGAATGCATCGATGCACTGTATAATGCATCGATGCACTTCAAGGGGAAATTGAAATAGAAATTTCTTTTGGTCTAAGAAATGATAGATTAGTGTATATCAATTGGATACTGATATGTATCAATGTATGATTATATAGATATCGAGCATGAACAAGTCCGGGTCGATTGGCAAGTTAAGATTCGATCGAAAGAGAGGAAAATCATAAAGTGTATTGGAACGTAGTGAGGCCAAGGTGAGTGCACATTAGATAGTGTATTATGTATTAATGGAAATAAGACTTGTGACAAGTCTATTTCCTATAGTAGAATGCATGAATTCATTAATGTGAGCATATGTTTGACATGTTATGTGTGTGTTATTGATTGTTACATATGTTAATGATATGAGTGAATAAATGTTTATATGATACATGTTAATTGTCCATGATATATGCACACATGATAATATGATATAAGTTAAATTATGTAATATGATACATAACTATGAGATAAGTGAAGAAATGTATATATGATAGAGATTATGTATGTGATAAATGAATGATATGAAAAGTGACATGAACTACGTGAAAAGAAGCTACCTGATTACAGGTACATGTGAAATAAGTTATGAGTTTATAAGAACATGTGATATGAATGTGTATATGTGATACTTGAAAGTGAATCATATTTATTATATGAATATGAGAAATGATATGATAAAAGCTATGAGCATATGAGATATGACTATGTGAAACGATATAAAAGAGAATGCCCATGTAAGTGTTAGGAGAGCTAAAGGTATAGTTGGCATGCCAAGAGTCGAGGGTCTACGCGGTCCTTCGGGACATAGTGGTCCTTTGGGACATAGTGGTCCTTCGGGACATATGTGTTATATGTAGTCCTTTGGGACATCTACGTGGTCCTTCGAGACAAATTCTACGCACCCCTAGTGGGAATTATACGAGCTGTGATGACAGCATAGTGCACAACCTCAATAGACTCACATATCTACAGTTCTCACATGTGTACATGAGCTAATAAAGAGATAATTGTGAAATCAATGTATGTGATATATATGTATATGAATTGCATGATATAAGAATTTGTTATAAGTTATAGAATATGAATGTAAGAGATAATATGAATAAGAAATAAGAGATATGAAGTATAATAGTATAGGAGCAAGATAAAAACATAAATGATGATATGTATGTATGTATGTAACACCCCCAACCCGTATCCGACCCGGATACGAGTCCGAAGTGTCACATTGACTTTTAAAACCTTGACTCTTAAGAAAAATCCCGGGAAATTTAAAACTTTATTTAAAACAAAATACAGACTTTATCAGAGTGCTCGTACTTAATGACTTATTACATGCCAACACTTTATACATAACCAAATACATACTTTGTCAAATACTTCTGATCTGATCTTTTAGTAGTGATACTGTCTTTGCCACTTCTATTCTTTCACTTCTCGTTCTTGGTACCTATGTGTAAATCACTTACACGCTAAGTTATAGACTTAGTGAGGCATATAAAACATATAATATAACCATATATCATTTCATATAAATAAAAGACATACATATACAAACACTATCAATAATCCTTTCCACTTACCATATACTCATCATATAACACATATAATTCATGTATGTGCATTCATATCATTGAATCACTACATATCAATATGCATGAATCTATGTCATGATAACAATATACAATCAGGTCATGCACACATGCCACTTACCTTCTTTTATCACTTTCGCTTTCATTTGTCTTTCAATTTCATTGCCCATGTATATTATTGAGAATAGAGGTATGTGAGTACATTGAGGTTGTGCACTAATGCTGTCACCACAGCTCGTATAAATATCCCGAAGGACCTAAACAGAGGTCACACAGACCCCGGTAACTATCCAGAGGTCATAAAGAACCTCGACAACTGTCCATAGGTCCCAAAGAACCTAGGTAAACTGTCCATATGTTCCTTAGAACATAGGTATACTGTCCATATGTCTCGAAAGACATAGGTAAAACCCTCGACTCTTGGCATGCCAACTATACCTATAGCTCTCGTATCATATACTATGGGCATTTATTTATACATTTCGTATCACTTGTTCTTTCTCTTCTGTCACATATCACATGTATGTGTAACCATATATCTCATATCATATCACATGTATTATATATATACATGTATTCATGTAAATCATTTCATGTAATTCATATCACGTATATCACATGTGCATATAAGCTTATAGCTTCTTTCACATATACATGTAGTCACATAGCTTTCTTTCATGTAACCATGCATGTCATGTCAACTAACATATATCATATGTTGCATTTTCACTTAAGCATATAATAATAATTATATTTTACTATGATCACATAGTTTATATCTCATATAATTCATAACCTTTCTTATGTAATTACTTATACTTTCTCACCTAACACATAAAAGAACAGATCAATCCATATAATCAAGCATACATACATGCATATTCAATTCATGCCTTTAATCATGCATTCATGTGTAACACTTCAGGAAATAGACTCATCGCAAGTCTTATTCCCATCGCACATCATATACTATTGAATATGCACTCACCTGGGCCTCGTTGTTTGAATCAATCCTAATCCTTAGTTTGTTCCGGAACAAGCTTTCATTCTATATCTACATAATAATACATTAATACTTATCAGTATACTGATTGATATATTCGAAACTATCACTCCTTAGTCTCAAAGAAAAGCCAATTTCATCTTTTAATGAAGTTATGCATCGATGCACTACACCATGCATCGATGCATAAATCCTATTCGATGTTTGTATTTAATGGGGATGCATCGATGCACTCCTTATGCATCGATGCATAAATCCTATTCGATGTTTTCTATTTAAATTCATGCATCGATGCACTGCATGTGCATCGATGCACCTTAAACAATTTCTGGTATTTATCATCGATGCATCGGTGCCCAATGAATGTGCATCGATGCACATTGCCCAGAACTGACATTTTAGCACGTAAATCATCAACTCTTCCCTTAATTCTTCTATTTTAAGCCCCTATTTTGACATTAAACTCAACTACTATAACTTGAACCAACTTATATCCATGTAAATCATGTTTAACCTCAAAATCCTATCTTCTTTATGAGATTCAAGAATCATACCAAATTTTCTATATGTTCTAAATCCAATTCTAACACTTAATACTTCTTAATTAAGCTGATGACAAGTCAAATCCAACTTTAGAACTTCAAAAACCTTTCTATAACAAAAGTTCATTTATAAACCCTTAATAGAAATTCCTTTCTAATTCTATCTCTTTGGTGTTTTAAGCTTATATAAGCTTTCCTTAAGCTTATATAACCCTCAAAGACTCAAATCCAACTTAAAACTTTCAAGAAATCATAAGCTAAATCAAACTTACCTTTGCTCTTGGCTCCACGTGAAGAAGAAGAAGAAAGGAGAAGAGAATTCTGGAGAATTCTCTCCCTCTCCACGTGTATATAATTCCCCTTTTTTTTCTTAAATGATCAAATGACCATTTTACCCTTTATTTCCTTTAATAATTACTGAATAACCTTCATCATATTTCCAAGAAGTCATTGAACTATTCAATTATCCTACTTTAGTCACCAAATTC